AAATGAGATAATTTATATTAGGTTTATAAAAATAGTTTAATAATAAAAGTATTAGTTAAAATAAATATTTCGTACTTAAATATTTTATTTATAATAAAGAAGTTAGGAAATAAAATATTATAATTTTAAAAGAATCTAAAGCTCGAGGAATTTAACTTAATAATAAAGTCGAAGTTATAATTGAAAAGCTTTAAGGGTATATATAAAGTATATATTTTCCGGAAAAAGAATTTTATAAATTCGGGTATTATATAAGTAAAAAGAATAATTACTAAGAAAATAGTTTTAAGGTTAAATAAAGTTAGTTTTGAAAAATAATAAAAGTTAAATAATTAATTAATTAATTAAATAGCTAATTGCATCTTAATTAATAAGAGCTAATATTTTTTTTAGGCTATTAAATACTTTTCCGGAATTAAAAGTAATTGTTTTCTTTAATTAGAAGTAAATTTGCTTATTTTAAATTACTAAATACTTTTTAATTAACTAAATCTTTTTTAATTCATATATATAATCTAATTAGTATTAGTTTATTAATAATATATATGAAATACTTAATATATAAATTAATAAAATAATTAATATCTAGAAATAAGAATTATAATATTATAATATTAATATATAATTTCTAAATATATTAAGTTTAATAAGAACTAATTATTAATTAAATAATATATAAAAAGTAAAATTATATAATTATATTATTAATAAATTTCTTTTTTAAATAATAAAAAATATATTATATAAATTTATTACTTTTATTAATGCTTTCTAAAAAGAAATTATATTTTATTATTATTTAATATAAATATATTATTATTAGCTTATAATAATCTAAATTTATATTCTAATAATAATAATTATTTCTTAAAATATAATTTTATATTTATAAATTTATTAATTATTATATTTAAAAGTGAATTAAAAGAAAAAGAATTAAATATAAAACTAAAATATTTATTTTAGCTAAATCTAATATTTTACTTATTAATTCTTTTTAAATATATTAGAATTAATTAAAATTTATTAGCTAAATATTTTAATGAAATTATATATAATACTTATTTTTTTAATTATTTTTTTAATTATTTATAAGAAAATATAAATATATATATATATATTATAAACTATTATTTGAATTTATTTATTTTTATTAAAGAAAAAATTTATAATTATATATTTCTTTAAAAACCTCTCTATTTCTAATATATATTTTAAATAAGTTTTAATTAATATATAAGTTATAAATATAATTTTAGAATTCAAATAATATATAGCTTTGATTTTTAATATTAGATATTTATTAAAAAAGCTAATAAAAGAAATTAAAATAATAATAATAAGTACTTTAAATTTTATTTTTCTTTAATATATATTTCAAATAAGTTTTAATTAGTATATAATTTATAAATATAATTATTAATATAATTTATAAATTTAAATAATATATTTATTACTTTAAATTTTAATATTAGACCTCTATTAAAGAAGCTAATAAAAGAAATTAAAATAATAATAATAAGAGCTTTAAATATTATTTTCTTTTTAAATTTAATTAAAGTATTATAAAGTTATATAATATTAAATAAAAGTAAGTTTTAATAAAATTATAATTAAAATATATTAAAAAGCCGATTTTAATATTCGAATAATATATATTTCTAATTTTTAATATTAGTATTTTATAAAAGATATTAGTAAAAAAAACTTATAAAAAAAAATAAAGTCTTTAAATTATATTTTTCTTTTAAAGTTATATAAATTTAAAGTAAGAATTTCTAAATTCCCGAGTTTTATTAAAAGAATTAGTTATATATAATATTAGCTAAATTTATTTAAAAAGTATAAGTTATTTAATAAGCTTATAAAGAAAATATAGTTTAATATTCTTATAATATTCTTATATATTATATAATAAAGTCTATTAAGTAAGTTACTTATTATAAGAATTAGATTAGTAATTCTTTTTTAAATAATTTTATAAAAATAAAAAAATAAAAAACTTAAGTTCTTTAATTAAGAAAAAGCAATTAAAATAATAATAAGGCTAAATTAAGTTATATAAAATATAAGAATTCTAAAATTAATATTTTTATATAAATTAAATTAATAGGAATTTTATAATTAAGGAAATATTTTTTATATTAAATAAAAATTAGAATTATTAATAAAGAATTTAATAAAATATAAAAACTTGTTTTTTTAATAGAATTTTAAATAAAATCCTTTATTAAACTAATAAAACTAATAAATTAAAAATTTGTAATAATTAAAAACCTAAAATAAATTCAGGATTATATTTTTATTAAGCTATTAATAAAATAATATAAAAATAATATTTATTTTAGCTTTTCTAATATATATAAATAAATCTTGATTTGGGCATTTCAAAATTATCCCTTGAGATAATAGCTATTTTTGAAGCTTAGTAAAATAGGGCTGCCTTTTTATTTTACTAGGAGGCCCCCTACAAGAAACACGAGTCTACTATCGCGAGGCTTTACGAGCCTGGTGCCCACTAGTCTGTGGATTACAGGGCCTTTAGCGACCAAATAATCACTGAAGCAAAACCTCGACTTTTGCAAATAAACTATAATAAAATAAATTACTATAAAGAAATCAATATTCACTTCTTGTAATCATATCCCTCGATATTTTAATGGATTACAGTTTGTGGTTATCGAATATAACTTAGTTAAATATCGCGATTTATGTTTTGCGAGGCCTGAAAATCTCGCTAAAATCCACAGACTAGTTGGCACCAGGCTCGTTACTTTCCTTTCTTTTCAATAACCTCCAGAATGCAGGAAGATAGTTTTGATACCCCTCCTTGGATTGCTAAAAACCTAAATTGCAAAGATCTCCTTTCGATGTGGAAGAGCATTACGCATACTCTTATCTCTACTGGATACATTACAGAGCTATACCAGGAACTGGACCACGCTAGCCGGACTGGGTCATAAAGATCCAAGCTCTGGCAGTCAATGGGCAGTTGAATCGTGCAGTAATCCTGCTCTACTTTCAAACAAATTACTACGAACACCTGGTAATAGCATAGAGAATAACAGATCAGCGTGCGGCTACAATGACGAAGAGTCCATTGATGGAGATACGGTACATTTGCTTGCAAAACCGGCGTCCCCTTTTGTGCAGCTGCCGGAACTTTTACTAGGTACCTCGCTCTTGACCAGGGGTGCCCCCGGCGTAATTTAACCAAATATAGCTAAGCGTATGGTACTCAATCATGTCACTTGAACTAGGCCTGCGTATTATTAAGGTGTCCTTTTTACAAGCTTCAAATATGTACGAGAATTGATCCCTTGATTACTGTAGTGGCCCCAAACCTCGCCCCCTCCTAGCACGACTTAATTCTAACCACTCACTAATCTCAAAGAATATTGTGACATTTTTAGCTTCTAGTTATGGTACTTTTACTGTCTTAGGTAGCTTAGGTAGCATTTAATATGTAACCGACTTAATTTCTCGTGTACTTAATATCGAAGGTAAAGGGTTGCACAAATTTAACGAGTTTATAGAATAAACGAGTGAATTGAGTTGCGGCCGGCATTACTTAGTAGCCACTGCCGCTTATAATGCCATAATGCTCATATGCCATTGGAAAAGAGAGTGTGGCTATTTAGAAAAAGGATTTTGGTAGGAGGGTTCGAACAGTCTATTTGCTTTCTAACTCCAGCACAAAATGACTTTGATCTTGAGGTGCCTGATCTACTCTATCCCGGCAAAAGGTGTGTGAACAGGCCACCGAAGGTTTCCCTCCGGATCAAATACCACTTCTGCCACTCTTTCGAAATCTTTTGTTCCAATCTTCAGCCTCGCGTTTATCGATCCATGAAGAAATAGACATGAAACCCTATCACGGCCAATGAGTAATTGCCTTGCCCACGGAGCCAAATCCATGATATGCTCCAAGGCCACTACATTAATCCAAAGGCAGCCTTTTGAGATTCCAAACTCTACTCCCAATTTCTGGGAGTACTGATTCTCGAAGGTGATCGAAGCACGTGAATCGTTCTCATTAAATCGATATAAAAAATTGCTATCATCGTCCCGATTCCACTCGACTGACGAATTCCTCACTGACCTCTTTTTGGCAGCAAAGCCGATACCAGACAGAGAGTCTGCGACAACTAGAACCCCTTAATAGCTTCTAGGGACGATTGGCCTGGCCAAGACCTGTGGCACGTACAGGATCGTTGCTTCTTGCTTCTTGATCCACCGATTGGTTTTCCGATTAACTTGAAATCTTACCAGTTCTTCCCCCCGACACCAGGTTAGGTCAAATTCCGAGACGTACATATGTACGAAGACAACGGCATAAAGTATCGGGAATACAGGGCATTGGGACCCTTGGTGCTCTACAGGGTGCGAATTTAGGGCAGACGCCCGCTATAAGCCCCTATAATCTAGGTAGTGTTCCATAAATCGACATAAAGAGGCGCTATAAGACATTCGCAAGGGATAAGTAGATCTTCTAGGGTTATAGCGCTATTGGTAGAGCAACTATAGCGCTCGGACGCTAAACAAGCAACTATTATAGGCCTCCTTAGCGAAGACCTCCTTGTAAGTACAGGGGGAGGTCCTGAAAAGGTGTGGTAGCTCTTGTCGAAGGCGTAAATTCCGCTTTTAGGGGAAGGGCCTAGAAATATAGGGCTTTATAGCGAGTTTACCACCTTAATCTGAACGCCGGAGAGCCTAAAAGTCTCCCAATGGCCTGTATTCCCGATACTTTATGCCGTTGTCTTCGTAACGCAATCACGGCCTGACGATCAACAGCTCCGTTTTTTTATCCTTCCACGTACAGTTCAGCGGTGCTAGAAAATTCGATCCACGCACGCTAGATAGATGACTTCGTTCGCTTGGCGCCAATACAAAATGTGCGCAAAGACCCTTGCCAGTCATGCTATAAGGAGGTCGATCCGGGTCCAATATATCTTTGGTAATTTCAAAGGAATCCTCGAAATCTTCGGCGATGGCGCGAGTCATCCGGAATGCCCGTATGGAACAGGTCCATTCCAAGCTAATATCGAATCATCATCCGTTTTGCTAAGTATTTCCAGTTGAAGTCTGATGAAGGCATTCACTCGTTCTCCATATAGTGGGGGCATATGTACACCGAATAGACCGAGGAGGGAATGGGCCCTGTCTTCGATTCTTGTTGTCTCTCTGCTCGACGCCCAAGACATTTTTTGAGCTACGCTTGCGCTCTGGTGGTCCCATAAGTCTGTTATCTTTGTTGCCTCGCTTATAAGAGGTTCTAAGCATGACTTGCTCCCGATCCAAGTCCAACTTTGATCGAAGAAATCGACATAATACGGCGCGAGAAGTTCCTGAAGTGTCCAACCTCTGGTAAACCACTTGCTGTTCTGAATTGCAAAATATTTGGCTCGAGAATCTTCAGTTGCAGGGGAAACATCCGACAGGTATGCATAGCATACTTCTGCTCGTTGATACCATGCGAACATGGAGTTGATGGTCTCTGAAAGCTCGGCACTGCCCGACTTATCTATGCAGCACGAATCAATCCACTACATCGTGATTAGCTCAAATATTATCAATCGAGAACCGGCGAAAGCCAAGAAGAGAATAGACAGGCTTCTCAGTACAGAATTTTAGCAGTCAAGCATTAGAAACCACAGACTATCTCTGATCTGCTCCTTGCACCCGATGTTTACCCGGAAGAAACACACAAGCTTTCACACTCAAAGAGGTATGGGGAAATCGCTCACAAGGTATTCCCAACCATCCAAGAGAGCCTGGGCACAGCACCCTGTCACTTTGCTCCAGCTCGCCATGCCAGGGCCTGTACCATCCTTCAAGTCCTGAAACGTGACTTCAGTGTTCTCCCACCGATGAGACAGAATCGCATATTTTGGAATCTCGCTTCCAAGGAACTCATGAAGCGTGAGCGTTGAGGCGTTCAGGAGACGCATGTTGCAGCAGTTTGTGAGCGGTGGGAGCCTGATTGATGCGACCTGATACTCGTTGAGTTGGATTGAGTTTATCTTCGTGACAGCGATGCCTCAAGCTCAATAATGATCGGTGAGGTAAATCAGAGGCTCTGGGTTCTTCCAGCAAGGTTTCATGTATGGAGGGCTGCGGGTAATGCAACTAGATAGAACGAGATTACAGCGATGTGCGAAACTACAGTAGCTTTAAAACACCATTTTTTTTTTACCGAGCTTTGGAAATCGCGTCTGGAGAGAACGATCACCAACCATACATTTCCAATTTTTGTAATTACTCCACAACCACTTTATCAATTCATCTGCAACAGTGCAAAATCGAAGCTTGCCATGCCTCCCGCAAGATCCTTCAAGCGCCTGCAAGCCAGAGCACCTTCTCCTGAGAAATCTCCGAAACAGGCACTCCGTTCTAACAAAAACACGCTGGCCGAATTTAACGCGTCCCAATTGCTCGTATAATAGCGGAAGAGACCCAAAAAGCAAGCTATAGTATCTATAAACGCCCCTGAACCCGAAATCGAGAGGGATCCAGTATCTGGCACTCTAATTATTATTTCAAGTAACCCTCCGGTTCCCCAGATATCTTCCCTTAATAGTACCCCGCTCCCAAAGCATACTAAGAAAGCAATATAACCTCCTCCTCCGCTATTTGATCCTTTAATTAAGCAAGAAGCACCCTATAATATATCTATATTTATAATCCCGATTATAGATAATATATAAAAAGAGAAGATATTCTCAAAGATTATAAATATTAACTTTATTATATAGAATAATTTACGAGCCTTTTTTTATATCAAATATATTAGAGAGTTTAAAACCATTTATAATCTCTGGCTATATGAGAAACCAAAGTTGCTTTACTAGATAATTAGAATTAGTAATTTTAAAGTAATTAATTTCATATATATTAATAATAATAATTCTTGGCTTGGCCTTTTAATTTTGCTCTATTAAATAGAAAAAAATAGTAATAGAGATTAAAAGATATATTATAAGATTTATATAAATATAATATATAAGATATTTAATTATTAAAAGACCTTTTCTCTAAGTATAAATAAAGTAAAAAGTAAAACTAAAAATAAATCTAGATTATATATTATATAACTTATAAGACTTATTTCTTTTAATATTAATAATAATTTCGAGTTTTTTTATACTTTTCTCTGAAATTACGAGACTTTATAACGAATTAATAACTTTAAGAAAAAGCAGCCCGTAATATAAGCTTTTTAACTCAAAAGTATATTTATTAAAAGATATTTATATAGTACTTTTATAAAGATCTCAATCACTTTAATTATAATTCTTATAATTATATAACAAGTTTATTAAAAGAATATTATAAAGTTATATTAAAGTAATAAAATAAGTAAGCTATTTTAATTAATATAATTCCTAAAGTTATAATTAATATATTATTATTTAATTAAATAGCTTATTTCTTTTAAGAATAGTAAAAGATAAAAAAGAAAAAATAGAGTTAAGAAAAAGCTATAAAAGAAGATATATTTATTTCTATATTTACTTTTATAGAAGTTTAACTAATTATTATTTAATAACCTTCCATAATAACTATAATATTCTTTATTACTATATTTTAAGTATTATAATAAATTCGATCTCCTTAAAAGTTAATATTATTATAATAGCCCTTATACTTTTATTCTCGACTCTTTTCTTATAATTTTATATCTCAAGCCTTATTTTTAATTTAATATCTTATAATTAATTTTTTTCTCGATTTTTAAGACGAGTTAATAATTATAGTTAATAAAAATAAGAAGAATATTAATAAGGCTATATGAGTAATTAGAAAAGACAATTTCAAGATTAATGAATTAAAAATAGGCAAAGTAATAGCTATATTTTTATATAAGAAAGTTTCTAATAATATTTTTATTTTTATTTAATCTCAAGTCTTTTAACAAAAACCTATTTAGTATATTTATTAAGAAGTAATTCAAGGCCTTTATATTATAGTAAATCGTAAACTAGTTAAATAATATAAAGAGCTATTTATAAACTTATATATACCGGATTATTTATAAGGAAATTATAAATACTTTATTTTAAAGAAGAAAAAATTATTTTATTATTATAAGTATTATATATAATATAATATATTTCTATTTTTCTTGCTTTATAATTATAATATTATTTTATTTCCCTCTTTAATTTTCTTTTATATTATAATTTAATATGTGTTTTAAATAGAAATTTAAATAAGAAATTATATTAAATAAAATAATTTATAAAATCTTTATAAAAACATTAAAAAACATATAAATAAAAAGGGCTTTTACTTTATAAACTTTTAATAAAATTAAATAATTTTAATTCTTTAAAAGTAATATAAAAATATAATTAATTAAAGAATTTATTTTATAAATTAATATTATAAAAAGTAAATTTTATTATATTTTATTAATAAAATATAAATAAAATATAAGTAAAATATAAGAAATCAAATATATATTATAATAAAGGGCTATATTTCTAATAAATAAATACTTTTTAAAATATATCTAAAATAGCCCTAATTATATAATATTTTATATATTTCTATATTTTTAATAATTCCTATATTTATAATACTCTTTTTAATATATATAATATATATAAGCTTTTATATTACTAAAGCTTTTTTTAATTAAATTAAAATCGGGCAAATAAAAAAGAAGCTAGTATATTTAGATATTCCGGTATTAATAAGCCTTAAAAATTCAATTTTATAATTTATAATAAACTAATATATTATTTATTATAATTACTAATTAAGAAGCCATAAAAGAGTTATAAAGAAGTAAAATCTATTTAATAATAAAGTTCTTAAATATAACTCTTATTAAACTATTTATAAATATAATAAATATAATATATTTTTTAATTATATATATTAGAAAAATTAAAACTCCTTTTTTTAAAGCTAATAAGATATTATTATATTACTATTATATTTATTACTTTCTAATTCGTTTATATAAATAATTTAATCTATTATAAATTATTAAAGATTATTTTATTATTAAGTTCTTAGCTCTTTATTTCTTTATATAACTATTATTATAAGCTTTTTTTTATATAATATTAATCTATTAATAATAATCCCGAAAGCTATTAATAAGAACTTTATAATCTTATTCTAATATAATTAAGATATCTTAATAAAAAAGTAATAAATAGCCTGCTTTATATAAAATATAATTATTTTCCGAGAATCTCCTAAATAGTATATAATAAGTCTTCTAATAGTAATTTGTCTCTAATAAGCATATATTGTCTAAATAGTAGTAATAAAATTAATAGCAAGTTATTAAAGATAGGTTTTATTAATAATAGCTTTAGGATTATATAAGGCATTCTTGATTTGCCTATTCACGTATAGTAGCAAACGAATACCGGGCTTGGGCACTAATACTATTAGGGAACTAAAGATAGGCAGGCAATCTATTATTCGATTAACTTACTTCTTAATCTGGAGTTGTGGTTATTGAGTAATTCGCGATTCAGTAATATTGGGTCTTGCATAATACGGCTCTAGACGCGATTTCCAAAGCTCGGTAAAAAAAATGGTGTTTTAAAGCTAGTTTCGAATATTGCTGTAATTGGATGCCCCAGGCACTTATTTAACGGATATCACCTTTACTGACTTTAAATTCACTTTTAAAATTCACTTTTTAAAGGCTAGTAAATTTTCCAGGTAAGCTAAATAAGGTAGGTTTTAATTTCGAATTCCAAAGCTTCTTTCCTTTAATAAACGCCTTTATATATATTGTGAGAGGGAAACTATAATAAGACAAAAACCCATATAAAGTATACCAGAGCGCAAAACGTAACTTAATAGTAAAATAATAAATCAAAAGCATAAATAGTAAAGCATAAATAGTATATAGTATATAAAAGCTTAATTAATTAAATACTTATAAAGAATTATTTTCTAAGTTTATAGAAAAACCAGCTTTCTTATATAATTTTCGCAAGTTATATATAAAAGGCTATAGCTTTTACTATATAACCTAAATCCTAAAACCGCCAAAATAATGCGATTTTTAACAAGTATAGCCTGCTATATTATATCTAATTCTTTATTTATTTATACTTATTCCCTAAATACTAAAAATAATAGAAAAATCCTATTTAGAGTCCGAAATAATAAAATATTCAGGATCCTCCTCTATTAGTTAATCTAATTTCTCCTCTATATACCTAAAATAAGACTTATTACCTTTAAATAGTCTTATTTTATATTTTCGAACTTGCTTAAAAGTAATTCAAACCCGCTTAACTATATTCTTATACTAAATCCAATATAGTTCTCTATATTAATTAGTATTTGCCTTTAACTATTACTTAATTTCTGCCTTTACTATAGGGTATTAGAAGGCTTATTATAATAAATCATATTATAAATTACATTAATATACTCTAAATAAATAGCTTTTTCGAATTTCGTATTATCTATAATATCCTTAAATTAACTTTTAATAGGAAAAGAAAGCTCTAGATAAAAGGCTTTAATAACTTTATAGGAGACTTTATTTTCGTATATTTTATCCTTAATAGTAATTAGATTTATGGAAATTATAGTAAAAGGCCTATTAAGTAATAAATTATTATTAAGCTATTCTTTAACTTATATATTATCCGAGAATTAATACTTTCCCATAATTCCAGACTTATAGATTACCTAGCTAAAGGCATTTATTTGTCTAGTTAAATAGACTATACTTGAAATCTTTCCTTCTATTACCTTTAGTAAATACTTACCTATTTCCTTAGCTATTTCCGGCTTAAATTTATTTGAAATAGAAAAGTAATTAATATCTTTAGAGAACTTCTTATTAAAAGTAGTAGCCTTTTTACGATCTATAAGGAAAATATAGCTAATATTTTAATACTTTTTACTAAGGTAAAATTCGCTATTTAAAGCTTTAGTAATAGCTAGATTTTTAGTATTACCT